TTCGGTATTGAAGCGATGAACTTTTTTTCTATCGAGAGTGTGGAAAGGGCTGTTAATCTGTCTTCGCACATTGAATTTCTTAAAAATGTTTTGATCCGTTTTAAAGTTGAAAAACTACGTTCAGCTTCTGCTGTGGTCATTGGCGTAGTCACCAGAATTTGTATCAACTTTTTGGTTTCTGTTAATGTGTCCTCTAAATTATTAGAAATTATAAATTTTAGTAAAGGCACTGCACCTTTTAGATTCAATTGATGGGCGTAACAGTGCACAAAATGAGCAGTTTCATATTTTCTCTTAATTATTGTTTGCACTCCGCCATGTATCCCACTCATAACAGCTGCTCCGTCATAACTTTGTGCAATGAGCTTATTTTTGTTATTCTTTAATATTGGGTCTAAAACATTCAAAATTGTGTTAGCTAAGGTTTCAGCATCATGTTTTTCTGGAAGCAAAAAAGTCCAAAACCTTTCAACTGGAGCACCGTTTTTTACATAACGAAAAACAATGACCATTTGAAATTTCATAGAAACATCCGTTGTCTCATCAGCTATCACTGCTAAAAATGGGGCTTCATTGATTTCGTTTAAAATCTCCTCAGCGTATACTTCTAGCATGCAATCCAAAATATCATTTTGTATTGTTTTTGAGGTACCTTGAAAATTGTCGCATTTGTAAGGTGTTCACTAAGTGTTTTATCAAGTTCAGCAGAAAAATTCACTAAACCACGAAAAATTCCAGGGTTATCTGATGTTTCAGATTCATCGTGTCCTCGTAAGGCGAGCTCAAAAGCCCCACAGAATTTTATACAGTCAATTATTTATTATTTATTAATTATTAATAAAAACCAGAGAATTACGAACACACATTAAATTTATTGTCTCCGAAGGCTCAGGTCAAAAAAATCAACACAGATGTTGGCCTACTGGTGTGAAAGCGCTCGCAGACAACAATACGAATATAGTATTTTTAGGAAATAAAAATATATAGAGGGTTTTATACACGAGAATATTTGATTTAAACGAAACAAAGAAATTCCTAAAATGCTCAAACTAAAAATTGTTGGAGACATAATTAGATCGAAAATTGGGAAAATCTTAAAATTATAACAGAACAAGACTTCAAAATAAAAACATGATTGCAAATAAACAAACTTACATTAACATAACTTCAAATATTTGCTGTCTTTTTCACCAAACAAACTTACATTAAATTATGAAAAAACTAAATGCTCATCTACTTTTTGCTATATACAAAAGTTGTCTGTCAATGTTTAATTCGTTACATATAAATAACAAGATCAAATATATGGATCGGAGTACACAACATATTTAGGGAATAAATATTTAAATGGGAATTACAAATAAAAAATATTAAAACTTTATTTATTGTATATCTCAATATTTAGTGACAATTTTGTGACTTAATCAGGAGAAAACTGTAAATTTATTAAGATGAGATATTGACAAAAGTTAAATACTTCATTATTTACAATACACTTCGAATATACTAATACTCTTATAGTTGTAAGTAATGAAGTATTATTTATAAATACAAATATATTTCATGTGCAATATTTCATATTTATTGAAAGTCAACATAAATGCTAAATTTTATTTAAGAATTTATATTGTGTAATATGCCCACTGACTATTAAAAAATAAGGTGCTTTCCTGTCATTTTCACTCGTTGGCGGCTTGCCCACGCAAGATGAAAGGAGTGTCGCTTCTCTGCGTTCGTAGTTCTCTGGCACAGATGCAACGGTCACGAATAACTGTCGTGAATTGCAGCTCGCAAACACATTTCCGAGGCCGTTAATCAGCCGATTGCCGAAGCACATCGGCTAAGATCGCCGTTTGCCTAATAAATGCATTTAACCGCTGCCAGTGTTTCGGTTGTTATCGACGCGGCTTCACTGGAGCAGCAAATACGTAAAAAGATTGCTTCACTGGAGCACCAAATACGTAAAAAAATTATACGGTTTCACTAGAGGAGTAAATACGTAAAAAAAATAATATTAATCATCGTTGTTGGTGAATTATTATTAACAGTTTATGTTTAATATGATAATATGGCAGATTTGAAATAAAACTATATTAATTATTCTTTAATAATTAAGATTTGCTATGGTTGTTTGGTAGTTCTGCAGCTCAGCAGCACATAAAGAAAAGCCGCCACTGCAAGATATAAAACAATATATGTCAGAAGTATATGATTTTAAAATTTGCTGAGATTATTTTGAAAAGATTAGCGAAACTAAAGATTCTTAAAAACTAGAAACTTACACGTAGAAACTTCAAGTATGTCAGTGAATTCTTTAATAACGACTGGGTACGAAAGAGTACGTACTACATTCGATTGTCGAGTCAGATTTATTAAGTTAATGTTAACAGCAAAAAACTGATTGTAATATTAGTGTAAAAGCTGTCAAATAATTCATAATTTCATAGAAAAAAAAAAATGAAATTGACTGCAAATAAAAATAAATTCAAAAGAAAAGTCTCATTGATTCTCAATATTGTTTTACATAAAATCTCATTGAGTTTGTTTTAGAGCCATTGAGAGCAAGAGTAGGAGGTAGATTCTTAAGATCGTATCTGATTCAGTGAGGCATGAGGCGTATACTAAAAGTTTTGAATAGAGCCATCTAGCGGAAGCTACTCGACTTCGTAAATATAACTCCTAAATTTTGACATTTCTTATGGTAAAAAACATTGAGAGACGGAAAATCCATCACGAGGTTTAGTAGTGACAACTTTTTAAAACAATAAATTTCATGAAAAATGGAAAATTCTCGTACGCATTTTCGAGAGATAATTTTGTACGGTTTTAAAGTTGTCCTAACTAAACAACAATCCGTTTATGGGCCTCATCGTGGTTTTCGTGATAAGCATCAGATTCAGCCACTGTTCAAAAATGATTTGTTGGCGCACTAGCTTCAGTAACAAATTCCGTGAAGGTCGCCCGAACACAGCTGTAGTCTCAGAAAACATTCATACTGTGCGCGGCATGATTGTAACAGATCGACATGATACCTATCATGATATTCGGGCATCATTGGGCATAGTAAACAGTCCAATACAATTTTACATGACCATTTGGCAGTGAGAAAGATACGCAGTCGTTGAATTCCTCATAATTTGACTGCTGCTCATTAAAAGGCACGTGCGAATTGGTGGTGCACTACACTCTGGATATAAAGCATCAATCTCATGAACTGTTCACAGTTGGTTTGAAGAATTCAAGAATGGACACACTAGCCTCAGTGATGAATTCCGTGAAGATCGCCCAATTACAGTTGTACTCTCAGAAAACATTCATACTGTTCGAGGCATGATTGAAGCAGATCGACATGTTACCTATCATGAGGTTCTTACATCATTGGACATACTAATGAGTCAAATACATGTTGCAGTGGGAAAGATGTGCAGTCGTTGAATTCCTCATAATTTGACTTCTTCTTCTTCAGTGCCTTATCCGGTAAGGATGTTGGCGATCATCAAGGCGAAACAGCTCCGCGGAGGTCATCCCAAACCATTGTCGGAGGTTTTTTCACCACGAGATACGACGGTTATAATTTGACTGCTGCCTATAAAAAGACACGCGTCGATTAGTGCTGCGCTATCCCCAAACGATTCAACAGAGGTAGCTCAAATTTGGTATGGAGAAGGGCAGCGTGTTTCAAAAGGAGCCAAAGTCAACAAAATAAAGGATATTATTTCCTTAGAGAATGTCCTATTTTAGAACTTTCACTACTTAATGGTAAACAACCTGAACAAAAACAATCTGAATCGCCGCATCCTTTTTGCATCAGGATAATGCCAGCTCTCATACGACTCGTATAACATCTGAGTATTTGAAGTCGAAAAACATCGATTTGGGAGTCATCCTGCATACAATCCTGACTTGGCACCTTGTGATTTCTTTGCGTTCCCGAGAATAAAAAAAACTACGCAGTAAACGTTTTTTAGACACTGGATGAGATGTCGAAACATACAAAAATCTCATTTCTGAGATACCCATTTCAGACTGATTTAAATGCGTAAAAAGTGTGTTGATCTTAAAGGCCTTGAATGCCTTGAATACCATAAAGTTGATTTTTCACAAACATATGTTTTCCTTCTATTATTTATGCAAAACTTTTAGTGTTGTATCAAAAAGTCAACTGCTGTTATAAAGTTCTTCCCTTTAAATTTGAAGCAACTAAATTGTATTTAGTCGGTACAAACATAACATAATTACTGAATTATTTATATAACTTTAGTACCTTAATCGCAGAGCGTATTAATATTTAGTTATCAGTTATAAGCAAAAAATTAATATTTTCAGTGTATAATCTACAGAAAAACATCACTTTTTTTATTAATATCCCTATATATTAGTTAATACAAGCGACCTCATAGCTACTTTTGGTCTCAATGGTTCATACATAAATAAATAGACGATATTCTCATAACATTTGTCAACTTTAAACGAACACTCAGTATACATTTGTAAGTCAACCACTAAAAACATTCTTCTATTGGAAGATAAGTAAAGGAAGAATATAAGTTATTACCATTATGGGAAAAGTCAAAAATATCTCACCTTGGAAAACACTAAAAACAAAAACGAAGGTAAAAACACCGTTCCCTTCTACGTCCAAACGGCGATTTAGGTTTAGCAATTCTTACCACTCTTTATTTTTCCATTTTGTTAATGGCGTCATGCTACTTATTTTTTTAATACACAGTTGAAATTTACGAAGTGACTCCAAAAATTTTACCATTAACTATATATAACTTATATTCTCCCTTTAATTTTGGAAACGCTGTACAACTCTTATTCATTTTAATTCATAGCCAACCCACCTACATATTCCGTTATAATAATAAGTATAAACAGAATTCTACTGTTGAGTATAGCACATGTATATAAAAATATTTAATTCTAATATCACAAGAAAGTAATTTATAACGATTTTATTTGTCTAAAACTTAATTTAAATCTTCAGGTCTCGTACGTTAATGGTTTAACGTTTCTAATATCATATTTTTAATATTTTGATCACAGTCTTCCTTTTCCATAAGTTTATTTTATTTAACACCGTAGGGGGATCATATCGAGCCATACATTTGAAAAAATGTAATGCTGCTTCCTAAAATCAAAAATTTTATTTTATTATATGGACACAACTGAATATATTAAAATATATTAAAAATACATTACCTGTAGCGCCTTGGGTTGTTTATCACTTAAATAAAGTCTAAAACAATCCATGGTTTTATGTACGTGTTCATCGGCAACATCCAAATATATTAACACTGTTGCCAATTGTGTTAGAATAATTTGTTGAAATTTGTAGCTTTGTGAGTATCTGTATTGGGATCCTCTATCTTTCAGATAACTGTTCTTCGATAGTTCATTCATAAACATTAGAATTTTTGGAAGAACGTCCCTAAAAATAAAGAAATTAACTAGATGAGCGGGAATGAAAAATATATAGTAACGGTATCACAAATGCTGTAAATAGCGAATTTTTTAAGCGTTAGGCTTGTTTAATAGTAATCTCAATAATTCCAAAATAATACTCACTTTGTAGTTCTCATTCTTATAAATTCCTTCGAAACTCTTGCTAGTACCACTAAAAGTCTGAAGCTAAGAGTCATAACTATTGGAAAACGAGTCTCGGAAAATCTGCTGATCAAAGGAGACCAAATTTGATGCACTATGGGCAAAAGATCGTCTTCATAATCTTTAATAATTTCAATTCCATCTGTTAAAATGTCTAATACTAATAATTTGCGTGATTGCACTGGCGAGGGAAGAAAATTTAGTGAATGTTTTAGTATCGATATGGTTATCTTTATCCTTGTCGGTGGATCTGGCTTTTTGTACTCTTCAACTTAAAATAAAATATGTTATATTAATAATAGATTTGGCTCTGCAAAAGTTTGTAAATAATATACCTGATATGCGCATAAAAAGAGCTAAAGGTATTTTCGGTCATTCAAATTCCGTTCACAATAAAAAAACAGACCAACCACATGATCTCCCAGAATTCCAGTCAAAACGTTCAATTATCTACGATATTGTTCCACTTAATGGTTCAAAAATATACAATAAAGAAATTACTAAAAATGGAAAACGACGGGATACGCAAAGAAAACGGACAACGAATATTGGATGTTAAAGGAATAAATAAAAACAAAACAAGTATTTATAGAACTCTGCACAGACAGCACTGGAGTAGACAGTAAAACAAAGAAGAAAGAATACGGGACTCACTGCATAAACTAGTATGCAGTATGCATACATAAACGCCAAAGTTGGAAAAGAGAATATATTTTCTCCCACCATCAGAAAAACCTTACACGCTAATGATAACGGTCTCAGAATCATAAACTGTGCGATGGCAAAGAACATAGGTGTAACACGATTTCCCCATAAAGATATACATAAGGAAACTTGGAAATCTCATATTGAAACGATTAACCCAATAGATCATATCATCATCGATGCAAGACACTGCAAAACTTATTAAATGTAAATGTACATAGACAGCAAATACAAGATCAAATAAGGACAGAAAACTTAGAAGAAGACCAACAATAGGCAAATATACGAGATATTGTGTTATAGAAATCGGTTGAAATATTGAGCAAAACCAAGTCAGAAAAAAGAAACCATTGGTTTGATCATGAGTGCGAAATAGCCACAAATAGAAAGAACACAGCATATCAAAAAATCATCGACGTAGGTTTTACACGGAGAAAAAGATGAGTATAGACGTCTTAGACGACAGGAAAAACGTATCCATTGACGTAATAAGAGGGAATACGAACAGAATACTCTCAATGAAATACAAAGTTTATTCGATCGAAATGAAACAAGGAAATACTAAAAATCCTTAAATAATAGCCGTCGAGAATTTAAACCACGATTAAAAATGTGTAAAGACACTAACGGTGAAATTCTACATGATAAAAACTCAGTTCTTAACAGATGGGACAACATTTCAGCGAACATCTAAATACAAGCGATATTGAAGAAGGTTACAACATAGACAACCAACAAAATCTACAACGTCAACTACACAGTGAAGACCCAACAAGAGAAGAAGTGTTAAATGCCATACAATGTCTACAACTCAAAGACAATAAAGGAATCGATGAAATCTGTTCGGAAATGTATAAAAAAGATGGTGATCAACTTTTTGTAGCAATCCATAAACTATTAGTACTTATACGGCAGAATGAATTGGTGCCAGAAGAGTTTCTAAAGGCAATAATATGTCCGTTGCATAAAAAGGGCGATCAACTAGAGTGTAAGAACTATAGAGGCATTACTATGTTAGTATCTGCGTATAAAATCTTCGGCAATTTATTGTTTGAAAGACATTTTACAAATGATATTGTTGGTCAATATAAATGCGGATTTACTGCTGGAAATTAAACTACACATCAAATTCAACAACATAGACAGATTCTATAAAAATCACTAAAATATAACATAGATACACACATCTCTTCGTGGACTTCAAAGCAGCCTATGACAGTGTGAACAGAACTGCATTATATAATGCAATGATAATGCACCAAGGTTGTTGACCCAACTACCAATGCAAAACGTAAGCTCGTGCGTTAGGATTGTAGGAGAAAACTCCACGTTATTTGACATTAATAATGGTCTAAGACAAGGGGAAGCTCTGGCATGTTCCCTCAATATTGCCTTGGAAAAGGCAATCAGACAATTAAATATTAGAATGAATGGAACTATTTTTAATAGATCGACGCAAATTCTCGCAGTGAGAGATATAGTGCAGTGTTTTACAAGACACGATTGTTGGGCCACTTATGATGATGATGATGACATAAACTAGTACAAAGACTAATCACGCTTCTGTCGTAAAAAATTACAGTTCCTAAACGATATATTTACCTTCATCCACTTCCTCAGTATTCATATTTAACTGCTCGTCTTTTTGAGTCTATCCTCCTCGTACATTTCTTCTGCGGTTTTGCCCATAATCTCATCTGAGAAATTATCTTCAACCTTATCAGCGCCCGTCACTTTGAAATCCTCGATTTCCTTCATTTTTTCTGCTTTGGGCTTGATATCTTCTTCTATTATTTCAACTGGCCACCATTTCTTTATTACTTGGATGGTGACTTTAAATACTTGGAGGTACCAATTGATGTGTATGCCAGACTCATTGAAACTATCGATCACCTAAAAATAAAATATTGATAAAGAGAAGTGTGTATAGAAGCATATTTATACCGGACCAAATCCAATGGCACATTAACCCATTTGGTCCCACTGTACTCGTTCGAGTCCAGCAAAAATGGCCAAGTAGTGACATATCTGGCAAAGCAGTGGTACTCCATGTATCTGTTCGATTATATTAGGAAATGTTCTACTAGATTTTCACAAATTATACTCTAGGTGGCACTCCTCTTCCTAGCCTTTGTCGCAGTAATTAGAAGCTAACCTCCATATTTCTGTTGGATCATTGAAGCGTTTGCTATTTTAAGATTTTGATATTATTTATCGGTTGAATATACTGAAAATACACGCTGATTATAGCCGTTATAGCCAAATGTCAAACATTGAACAAAAAAATTCGGTTTAGCAGTGTTGGCATGTTTTTATAATGTATATGCTGTATGCTTCAAATATAAAGAGATAAAGCTTTAGAAAAGTAGATTTTGATTATATGATGTTATAAATTCTGCAATTTTTGATTTATTTAAAACTAGAATGAGCAAATATTTGTTTCTTTGGAGATTAATTGCAGTTAATTATTTGAAATTTTTTTTGGCAATTGCCCTTTGATAGATTAGGGGATAGATTTGGCAAGCTGAAATCAGCAGTTGCCAGATTGCAACAGACGTTTGCAATTAATCTCAAAAGAGACAAAGATTTACTCGTTATTGTTTCATATAAATTAAAAATTGCAGAATTCATAAAACAGTATAATCAAAATGTACTTTTTAAAAGCTTTCTCTTTTTATATTTGAAGAATACAACATATGGCTATATTCAGCTTGTACTTTCAGTAAACTCAACGTATTTATCATATTTTTAGCTTTTATTGTTGAAAGGGTAAGTACTGGTAATATTTATTTATACAGTATATATTTTTTTTTTCATTTATTATTGTTGTTTTTATGTTCGTATGAGATCAAATATGTTTATTTGGTTTTTTGTTCAGGTTCAATATTTGTACTGGAATGGATTTTCAAGAATGGCCGTCTATTGGATTTTATGGAAAACGTTATAAAACACTCGCTTTAGTTCCACTATAAAGATGTATCGATGCTAGTTACTACCCCTGAGGTAGATGTAGATTACGATGATCTTCAGATCCAAAGTATTAAGAATGATGTTCCCGGAGAAATAGAGGTTGATTACATGAGTTATGACTCTGACAACGATGAAGAAGACAATTTTCTTCTTGTCATTAGACGAGAAAATTTACTGAAGGATCAAAATAAAACCAAATATCTGACTGGACGGAAGAAATTACTGATATTAGTATGACATCTCTAACAGGTTACAAGAGTTGTCTGGATGATATGAAAAAGCAAATCCGAGGTAAATCTCCTATCGAACTATTTGAGAGATTTTTCGACAATAGAATTATTGAATATATTACAGAGCAGAAGAATAAGATAGTAGGGAAAGTCTGGGATGACACCAATTGAGGCCAAATTAAAGAGTTTAGGTTAAGATAGTTCGGGCATGTTCAACGTCAAGACGTTAATCACCCAATACGAAGAATTACTGATTTGGAAGTTCCTAAAATCAGTAGGAAAGGGCAGGACATGTCGCTTAAGAAGATTGATAATGGCAGGATTCAAAATAGAAACTTATGGAGAAGTATAATTATGGAAGCCCACCCCCACAGGACAAAGACAAAGATGCAGCATTTGTGAAAATACGAAATATACCAAGAAAAATGCAAATCCGTCAGAAAAAAACAATATATTAAAAGAAATAATCCACAAGGAAAATAAATTCCTGCAGCTGGCTATATACAATGAATCACAAAAAAGAGGCTAAATCTTTGTAAGTGGGTATACTTAAAAAACCCTTAAAAGGGCTACATCAAATTAACAAACGTTTCCGAAATAACAATTCCATCATCAGGTTAAAAAGCAGGTTAACATGCCTGAGTCACCAAAATATTAGGGTAAAAACCCTTTAAAGTGAATAAGGTTACAAAAGATTGTACATATTGTTGTTAAAAATTATTGATGTTTAATATTTTATATTTTACTTCAGGTAACATACATACACACAAGAGGTGTCCGTCAGGGGTGTATATTATCCTGACTCCTATTCAATATGTATTCCGAGGAAATATTTAACAAATGTATGGAAAATGCAAATGAGGGCATAAAAATAAACGGCGAGTTAACGAACAATATAAGATATGCCGACGACACGGTGATCCTTGCCAGTACCATAGACGAATTACAACAAGTAATGGAAAGACTTTATTCAGTTAGTGAGGAATACGGCCTGAGCCTCAACTTCAAGAAGACAAAGTGGATGCTGATAAGTAAAAAGCAACAACCTGCTCGACAATTACGGATAAGTAACATACTAATTGATCATGTAGAATCTTATGTGTACCTTGGATTTGTCTCTTCCCCTAAAACTACGTCTACTTAAATGCTACATTTTTCCGATCTTGCTGTATGGCGTGGAGGCCTGGACGCTGACGGAGACGCTAACGAGGAAACTAGAAGCATTCGAAATGTGGGTGTACCGACGCATTCTTCGTATATCCTGGACAGAACATGTCACCAACATAGAGGTACTCAAAGAATCGGAAAGGAAAAAGAGATCGTGAATACAATTAAACAAAGAAAGCTTGAATATCTAGGCCACATATTGAGACACGATAAGTACCGTCTGCTACAATTGATTGTCCAGGGAAAAATAGACAGTAAGCGAGGGCCAGGCAGGAGAAGACACTCGTGGCTCCAAAATCTGCGGAAGTGGTTCGGGCTCACATCGGTCGAACTATTCAGAAGCGCCGCAAACAAGATCAAAATTGCCATGTTAATAGCCAACGTTCGCAACGGACAGGGCACTTGAAGAAGAAGAAGAACATACATGCCTTACGTGAGTATCAGCGTCCGGAGAGTAAACCTCTTCAAACGGACTCAGCTGGTAACTGGAATATCATCAATAAAATATTAAACATCAATAATTTTTAACACCAATATGTACAATCTTTTGTAACCTTATTTACTTTAAAGGGTTTTTACCCTAATATTTTGGTGGCTCAGGCTTAACCTGCTTTTTAACCTGATGATGGAATTATTATTCCGAAAACGTTTGTTAATTTGATGTAGCCCTGTTAAGCGTTTTTTAAATATACCCACTTATAAAGATTTTACCTCTTTTTTAACGAATTAATGTAATAAACATATAAACAGGACGATTCTTTAAAAGAGTTAGAAATTAGATGTAATTTTATACATTTAATAAAGTATTTCTACATCTTATATTGTGAATAAAAGATACAACAATATTAGTTTTACGTCTACATATTGTATAACTTTAATATTTATAATTTTCTTTACATTACATTCAAACGTTGTAAGGAAAGGACTTCTTAATTTGAGTTTTGAGTAAATTAAAGATTGTTTTGCTAAAACAAACTAATACTTACAGTGTTTATAATATATTTCAGATGTTCTAAAACGTCTGCAGTACAATACTGTAACAGAACTGTCAAAACGGCTAAAGCATGTTCGCTGTTCTCACAAGGCTTCAGTTTTCTTTCAATGTGATACGTCAGATAATCTATATTTGAAGTAATCAGATCATTGAAGTCAGAATAGCCACAAGCTGTTGTTATGTCGTGTAAAGTTTTTAGTCCAGCAATTCTGATATATTCATATGAACTACCTAAAAACGTCAAATACATATTGAAAATGTTAAAACAAATAGTGCCTTACATTAGCATATAGTGTATGAGTGTTTTAAGTTTACTTCTTAGTAATCTAGTTCACACGTACATTAGATACTGGCTGTCGACGAAAATACATAATGTCAAAAGAAAATTTAGTCTTAAAAATGACTTAGGACTGAAGGTCCTAACAATCCTCAGGAGGAAAGCAAGATCCCCAAAATTGTAAAGCTATATACCATTGAAAAGTCCCAAAGAAAAATCTGGGACGTAATGGGATAGTGAAAACATAATATAGCCACTCTTATTCAAATATCAACCTCAACTGCTCGTATGATGATCTAGATCATGGTCTTTTGGTACATTCTGCTAGATAACTAACGAGGCTCTGACGTCCGAGTGTTTGCCGGGATAAGCAATCCACCACTTACTGGCCAATGGCTTAGGGCGGATGAGCTGGTAAGTGGAAGGACACATCAGAATGTTGCCTTCTACATCAAATGTAGAAGGCAACGAGAAACCACTGCATTAAAGGTCCCTGATGACATCTCTAGTATAAATAATTCTAACAAGAAAAGAATATGGCAATTGCCAATACTTGGTTTCCTCTTCCTAAGAGAAGACTATATACATGGACGTCTTCTTCACATACAGAAAACCACATTGTCAGAAACTAGATAGATTTTATACTCATAAATAGCAGATATAAAAACTCTATAACCTCGGTTAAAACTTATCCTGGAGCAGATGTTAACTCAGACCACAATCCGTTAGTTGCTGATGTGAAAATAAACTTAAAAAAAATTTAACTCAGAAAACAACGACCAAAAATTTATGTAAGAATGCCTAAAAAACGAAGAAATAAACAACGAATTAAAAAATAATGTGAATTTTAATACGCAAAAAATACTAACTGACAACAAACAAATTATGGATGTAAGTAAAAAGTGGTATGATATAAAAAAACATAACTGAAACCAGCTCAAGAAAAAGTTTGATACAACATAGGTCAGAGGCTAAAAAACAGTGGATGGCCGAAGAAATACTGTTACAGGTGGAAGAAAGAAGGAAATAGAAAGGAAAAGATCTACAGAAGTATAAAGAAATACAACGAATAATTAAGGAAAAAATCAAAACAGCTAAGGAAATATATTTGATGAAACAATATAAAGAGATAGAAGAACTAGGAACAAAATATGATATCAGAAATATTCACAAAAAAATGAGAGAAGTGACTGAAATGGGTCGAAATAGAAAGCAAGGACACATAACAGATAAAAAAGGAGTACTACTAATAGATTTACCAGAGAGAGTACGTTAGAGAACTTTTCCAAGATGAAAGAGGTGAAATGCAGAAAAACAAAAATTAAATACTTTAGACAGACAGAAGACCATGATAGATGAAATCAAATATACTATCAAAAACTCTAAAGACAATAAGGCAGCTGGATTAGATGAAATACCAGTAGAACTGTTAAAACTAGCGCAAGAGGATAACTTGGAAATATTGGCTGATTTATTCAACACGGTGTACGATACGAGAATAATACCACAAGAGTGGCTGAAAAGTCAGCATTTATAACCATCCCTAAAAAACAAGCAGCAAAAGAGTGTTCTGATTATCGAACACTGAGCCTCATGAGTCATACTTTAAAAGTACTGCTGAAAGTAATACATAAGAGAATATACGAAAGGCTAGAGGAGGATATTAGCGAGACGCAGTTCGGGTTCCGAAATGGAATGGGTACTCAAGAAGTACTATTTGCCATCAATATATTGATCCAGCTATGTCGGGATGTAAACGTTGATCTAGACTTGTGCTTTGTTGACTACGAAAAAGCTTATCAACAATACTATTAAGAATATTTATGAACAAGCGCATTGACAGTAAAATAATAAATATAGTGCAAACATTATATTGGAACCAAAGTGCCATAGTTCAAATTGATTGACAACACTCAGAAGAAATGAAGATCTGTAGAGGAGTTAGACAGGGATGTGTTTTATCACATAAAATTAATTAACAACTTACGATATGCAAACGACACTGTGATCATAGTAACGAGTATAGCAGATCTACAACATCTTATCGAAAGCTTATGTATGAATAGTGCTGAGATGGTAATTACTATAAACGCTAAAAAAACGAAGTAAAGGCAATTTACTAAAAGACCACAAAATATACATCACCTATTGACAATCAATGGTAACGTGATAGAACAAGTAGAAACATATCAGTACTTGGGAACTTTGATCAATGAAACCAATGATCATACTGCAGAAATAAACAGACGAGTAGAGATTGCCAGATCAGCATTTATACGAATGAAGCCACTCCTAACGTGCAAAAATCTAAATTTGGAGATCAGACTACGTACCATTCACTGTTATATATTTTTAATATTATTACATGGAGCTAAGACTTGGACGTTAAAAAAATGCAATTTAAAAAGAATCGAGGCTTTCGAATTCTGGTGATACCGTAGAGTATTAAATAGGCCACGTGATGAGGGGACCAAAATATGAAATTTTGAGACTCATAATACACGGAAAGATTCAAGGAAGATCTGTTGGCCGAAGGCAGAACTCATGGTTGAAGAATCTACGTGATTGGTATCAATGCAGATCGATTGAATTGTTTAGAGCAGCAAGTTCAAAAATAAAGAGACTTTGTGATTGCTAACCTCTGTAGGGAGACGGCACTCTAAGAAGAAGAAAGAAAAATCTGTTTGGAACGACAGACATAAGATGAGGTCACTGTAGTGGATATGCTTTTGGCACGCAGAATATGCCAAAAACATCGAAACGAATAAAAAAAAAATCAACTCAATCCTGGAAAATGGAATTTTTCTAGAGTAGACATAGAAGTACATAAGGTGATACTCTCTAACGTTTTTGAGTTAGTTTGACGATAGTGACGTTTGTTGCAAATTGAATTAGGAGTACCATAAAATAAATATTAATTTGATATTTCTTGTATGTTGTAGAAGTTTAATAAAGTTAAGTGTGTTTAATTATAATTTATTTTCCATGAACCGACATTTCTCTTGTTTACTGTACATTTTGTGAACTAAAATGGCGAAAAGAAAGATTTGTAGGTCAATAAACTAGGTAACGTTAAACAATGAATTTTTTTATGATTTTACGTTCATATTATTTGATTATGATTTAAATAAAAAATTGAAAAAAGATACGCGGATCAAGATCGATATCTCCAACTTTAACACAGTTAATACTGTTACGATAATTATGGCGTTTAAAACTGTAAATATATTATGACTAATTCTGTTTTTGTTCTAGTCATTTCGACGGTTGTTTACAGAAACCTCTAGACCCCAATTTTGATGAGTCATCCACGACTCGAGGTTTTTCAAGCAGTTGAAAAACTAGTTTCAGCCGTCGACCACCTTCTACTATCTTCACCGAAATACCCGTCTATTCGATGGGTCCCATTCTAATCGGAAGGATTCCCCAGATGTTTCTAGTCTAGCGGTGTTGGATATAAATAACGGGGGATTTTCATTGAGCAGTTAGTAAGAAGATAAATTCGGGCCGCGTATTTAAATGTACGTCGTAATAAATTATTGTAAAATAAATTAGTATTAATAAAGACTTTAATAAATTCGTGAGTGTTATAAATATTGAACCTTTATAAATATAACAATACCATGGAGTAGTGGCGTTAAATACATTAACAACTTTTTATGAACCTACCTGTTTTTTCTAAAACAATATATAAAATCTTTAACATAAACTGATGGAAGCGTTGCTTCAACACTAAGGCAATTTTTCCTATGCCCTCCGTTAATAGGCAAACTTGAATTATATTCTGCAACACTTCGTTCCGGTTGACGTCATCGTTAACCTCCAGAGGGACTTGATAATACTTGATATCAACATAAGTTTCCAAAATACTCGCCATTATGTCCATCCCCTCTTTGTCGTTAGTTAGTCCTACAATAGAAAAATAATTAACTGTAATATTTAGTTAAATATTGCATTTCTATGACATTAAACTACAATTACCTGTAATGACAATTACATTTTATTTTTGACGTTTCGATTTCCAATGCGGAAATCGTTTCCATAAATTATTATAAATGAAGAAATTATGTTAACCTGTAGATGATTTGATGATTAGTTGTGTGCTTAGGAAATTAATTGTAAGTGATATGTCTCTGAGCTTCTATTAACCCATTAATGTTGGTATATTCTTATTGCTGACTTCTTCTTTTAGTATTAATAACCAGAGACGGCTACATTTTTTCTTCATTAAGTCAGACGCAAGTAGTGATGCATCTTTTCATTATACTCTGTGCTCATTGTTTCAGGCATGTTTACAAATCTGGTATCTGTCTGGTAACAGTTAGTGGTCTTGACGTTTCTTCCGATAAAAACTGTTGCATTCACAAGGTATTTTATAAATGCAGTTCTTTGATCTCTGCTGTATGTTGCCAATGGATCACCTTCAATTGAAGATGTATTAAAGATTATTCAATATGTGACACGGATTCACCATTTCACTCCTAAATCAAATCGGCAGTAAGTTGAGTGGACAAAAAGCTGTTAAAAGCTACTAAGAACCCAAGGGGGAAGTCTCTTCTGTGAAAAGAATAGCTATTGGTGAAACCTACCTCGTAAATGCATAAAGCAAACACAATAATGATGATAAATGTGCTAGCTGAATTTTTATCAAGTGATTGTGAAATGCCATAAAATAAGTAGTAGTTAAAATAAAACATAATTTACCTGATATAACTTCGTTTAATATAAATATCGCTTCTTTCCTATTGACTTCGTTATATATAATAACGTCTAGTAAAAAATCGCTAACCAGTCTAAAAGTACCGTATTTTCCTAACAAGCTGCACAATTTTTGAACCTGGTACCGTGTGGTAATCTTCTGGAAGTGGGTAAATTGCTTCCAGGGTTGATTTGGTGCCTGTTCACAATGTAGATCTAAAAAAATTTAAAATTAAGATAATGTTTTATAATGGATAGTCCTTGGGGCAACTATAGAAGCAGTCTAAAACCTAAAACAGTAACATAAATAATGTATTAAAACTCACAAAAAAATATTGCAAATTATATTTTCAATATTTTAAACTTCTGTTGAGTTTACTTGACTATTTCACGGGCTTTTCAATTTATTACAGACAAATGGATATTTAGACGGCGGTTAAATCCTTTAATACAGTGCGTTAAGTTTTGGATTAGGTATACACTCTATAAATGGCAACACTGCGCGTCGTCGACATATATCTGCTTCGTTGACTCGTCGTTGCTCGTCGCCCGTCGGCAAATTTGTCATATTGTCATTATACCGTGGTTGTTTAAAGGTATAACAGCGTAGAGTTTTAATTTATTTTTGTAAACATGTCTGTTTATATGGCCGCGGAAAAAGCTCAAATAATAAAATGGTTTTATAGTGGCAATTCTGCGCAACAGTGTGTAGATTTATTTTCTGTGTTTTTTGAGGGAAGACCAATTCCTTGTGTACAGTCAATTTATAATATTGTTAAAAATTTTGAGAGTTGTTATTGCCTCAAAAATTGCAGAAAATGTAACGCTCGAGAAGTGTTACCAGAAAAAGTTGAGGAAAGAGAATACCGGGATACACAAATTTGTGCAACAATCGAGGTAGATTCAACACGTTCAAGTAGAAGCGTTGCTAGAGAGTTAGATGTTAGCAATGTTACTGTAACGAAAGTATGGAAAAAGCACGGTTACAAGAATTTTAAATATTCGAAAACGCAGCAGCTTTATCCAGACGATTACTTTCGAAGAATGGAGTTTTGTGAAACTCTAATAACGAAGGCTAATAGTGAACCAAATTTTATTAAAAACATTTTATTCACTGATGAATCTTCTGTTTCGTTAGTAGGGAGACACAATCCTTCCATTACGAGGTATTGGGCGCGGGAAAACCAGCACAGAAGTGTTGTTTACCGAACTCAACGTCCTCAAAAAGTTAAAGTCTGGACTGGCATTTTAGGAGACCACATAATAGGTCCATTTTTTATTGAGGGCAACTTGAATATACTCGATTTGTTACAGAATCATGTTCTTCCCGCTATTCTCAATCTTCCTGATGTAAATCTGGAGAATGTTTGGTTTCATCAAGACGGCTGTTCAGTTCACAACGCTCGAATTATTAGGGAGTATTTAAACAATACTTTCCCGAATCGAGTTATCAGTGGAACAGGCGATATTAAGTGGCCTGCGCGATCTCCAGATCTTACACCCATGGACTTCTTTTTTTGGGGACATTTAAAAAGCATTATCTACACTCATCCTGAGGCTAGAGCCCAAAATTTGGATGAATTAAAAAATCGAATAAGAGAAGTCTCCAATTCTGTTACAGCAGAAACTCTTTCATCTGTTCGCAGAAGTTTTTATGACAGATTGGGGTACTGTTCAGCCGTAGAAGGTCAACTATTTGAACCATTTCTGTAGGTCATAAAGAATTATTTTTTATTTTATTAGGAATAATATTTTAATTTTCAATAAGAGTATATTTTTTATTTTATCTTTTTAAAGAAATACGCTTTCATTTTTAATTCAACCACAAAAAAAATTTCACATTAATAAAAATCGATAACAATGCACCGATTAGGTGCATATTTTTATCGAATTTCCTACTATTAAAATCGGCTTTACGTAATGAAACATGAGATCGGACGACAGAGAAGTACATCCCTAACGTTGTTGTGAGTTACTAAACTAAAATAAAATGATTTTCTGTCGGTGTAGATTTTCGGGTCGGAGAACGAACATTTGCAACGTTGCCGATTTTAGCGCTCCGTATAGTGTGCAATACCTAATCAAAAACTTAACGCACTCTACTCGCCTAGCGTTTTGTTACAAAAATACTCGCGTGAGATTCAAATACATCTCATGAAAAGGTGTAAAGTCCTACCAGAGATCTAAGAGAGTCAATAATATTTATTATCGATAAGTGTCTACCGCAAGGCAGCGGAGGATCTCCTCTGGACAGGATTGTACTTTTATTTTCGATTTGCATTACTTATTCATATATTAACAAAACTTTATCATTTCTAAATATAGAGTACAAAAAGAACAGAGGCAAAAATATTTTAGAAAATTATTTTCATAATACGTATACGTAATTTACATAAATTACGTATACATAGAAAGTTTATCATTTATAAATATAATTCAAAAAATACTTTTATTATAATACATTTTCCTTTATTTGATGGACCTTTTGTTGTACAGCGACCAGAAGAATCTGAATCTGATCAAACCACGTAAATAAAAAATTTCTCTTCCACTTTCTCTGTATTTATGAATTTGAATTAAAAATTCCGTCCTTCATTTTTGTACACGAGCAGATTCCATAATCACTTGGCGTTTATCGATCGTGTTTATTTTAAAGCTGTTTTTAAGAAGACATTGCCTTACTGTCTCACTGCAGCACATGATTCCTGTGTCACCTTTCTGCAACTTGTAACGATGTGCTGAACGTCCGTCCTACAGTAACAGCGTTCAACATTTCGAATCGTGAGTGTCGATAATCACGCATCCATTTCCACGACAAGACGACGAGGTGGGGTCCGGAGCGGCTATTTAAAGCGAGCGGCTGGCGGAATAAGGAGTCTTGAGGCTGACGCTCTAGGCTCCCTGGCTCGCTAGTGCATTGAATCTGTGAGCCAACCCGGACAGAGAGACTTCCGCAGTGAGGATTATGCTCTGTCCTTAATCAAGCAGAACCCGTGGGTATAGTGGATTGAACGTTACCGTCAACTCTGACTCAGAGTATAACGTGGATCTGCACAATCGAATATTTTGATTGCGAGAATGTTTGGCGCTTCCGCTGGACTGAGGTGGAATCGAGTATAAGTCTGCGTGCAATCGAATTCGCGTATTTCATTTTGCGTTAGTAATAATAATTTTTCTTTTCCAGACGTCCGCCGAAGAATTCACTCTCGCGGGATCCAGGCGGGGATATAGAATATATTTTATTTTTATTTTTACACATACGTTAGAATTAATAGATTTATTTTTATTTCAACCTGTGTTTTACTGAATCTGTCGCTTCGAAAGAGCTACCCACCACAAACTGGCGCCCGAGCAGGGACCATGCATGTGTTTGTATGATGGTTTTTAACGTGGGGACTATCTGTTCTTCATGCATGTTATAAATTTTTCTTCTAATGATCTCCACATCACTCCGGTCTGGTTTCCTAAACATACTGAGTCTTTTCTCTTTCTTCTACTTACTATCGGTTGTTTTGTTACGGTGTTCATTGGTCTTCGTGTTAAGGATGCTGCTTCCTTCACTGCATTAAATTTCAATTTCAAATCCATTCAGAAAAATTATTGCAATTTACCTTCACTGATAAGATGTAATGAGGTTATAATAACGGGTTATTTATAATCCTCTTTTTAAAATCTAGTTTATTATCAGGATCGAAAAAATATACCTGAATTGTTACCTTTTGAAGGTTCAAAAAATATTGTCTTTTATAAATTCCATTTCGGGCGCTAAATTTTATGTATTACAATATTTTTTTTATCTCACTGTTCAATCAAAAATACAAATTTCAGAACCTGTAAATAATTTAATGCGGTGAAAGAAGCGGCAGTTTTAACACAAAGACCAATGAAGACAGTGTGGTCAATAACAAAACAACCGATAGTAAGTAGAAGAACGAAGTAAAGAGCGATGGAAACATCAATGCTCGGGGTGAGACTTATAGACAAAAAAACCAACAAATGGATTAGAAGCAAAACGAAAGTAAAAGGCACAGGAGAACATGCTGCCAAATTAAAATGGAGCTTCGCAGGATACAATGCCCGACTGAAGGATAACAGATGGAACCATGAAATACAACAATGGAGACCATGGTTAGGAAAGAGAAGCAGAGGAAGACCACAAATGAGATGGGCGGATAATATTAAGAAGATCGGAGGACAAAACTGGAAGCAAGTGGCGCAAAATAGAAGAGACTGGATTGATTTGGAGTAGGCCTATGTCCAAAGTTGGATTACTTAAGGCTGAAGAAGAAGACCGGAATGATGTGGACATCATTAGAAGAAAAATTTAAAACATGGATGGATAAATAGTTGATCCCCACGTTAAAAAACATTATGCATATGTTGCACAAAGTTGACACATGAATTAAGCGCTGCAGTGAGACAGTAAGGCAATGTTTTCTAAAAAACGGCTTTAAGAAACGTTGATCAAAGAAACAATTATTATAGATCTAGATTCTGACAGTGATAGTGAAACTGACTTCTTCATGTATTTTTTTTTAATGTAAGTACTTTTTGAATTGTATTTATAAATGGTAAACTTTCTATGTATACGTAATTTATGTAAATATTTTTAAATTCAGTTGATAACGGTATAAAACCAGCGTTTAGACACACCTTAATTTTAAAAATAATTTTCTAAAATATTTTTGCCTCTGTTTTTTTTGTACTCTATTTAGAAATGATAAAGTTTTGTAAATATGTGAATGTGGTGCATGTAAATATTTTTTCAACTATTATAACTTTAGTAGACAATGATAAAGACTGACTTTTAAACACACATAACAATCGAATAAGTAATTCAAATCGAAAATAAAAGTACGATCCTGTCCAGAGGCGAGTAGTCCTGTAAATTTGGACCGAGTAGTCCTGTAAATTTGGACATAAGAAAGCTGTGTACAATATGAGTGCCGCGTTATTCACCCTCAAGCATACATAATGCCATAAAGACATTTAAATTCAGTGATTGGCAAAGTTTCACAGCGAACGAAGCAGAATTTTTGCGCAGTTTGATAACCATGGTCGAAATATGGGTCAAGATCAACCAAAACAATGGACTCAAAAGGGAAAATTGGCTTCGAAGAAGGCGAAAACCGTTTCATCTCCAGGCAAGGTTATGGCTTAGGTTTTTTTGGGATGCGTGTGGTAAAATTTTAAGTGAAGATATCAAGCAATAACAGCTGCATTTGGCTAAGAAGAAAGTATTATTTCATCAAGATAGTGCACTATGTATTCATATAGATTAATTGTGCCGGTCAAAAACCTGCAATGGGCGGTTGTTTAAGCTTACAGAGAAATCAGCAGCATGTCATTAATGGATTCTGTCTTTGCTGAATTGAATTGTTTTTAGATTTAAATAGACAATAGTTTCTGTATTCGACAAATTTGCTAAGTATCTGATCCAGGTTTCCTTACCTATAAGAATTAGTTTCCTTTCATAGAGGTCTAAATTCACGTGTAGCGAAACGTTGAAAACAAATTTCTTAAAAACCGCATTGTCTACACCATACAAAAGAATTTATCAAATTAAAAATCTTCTATCTAAATACATATTTTACCTTTAGTAGTATATTCTTCCACTAGACCAACATCACACTTTTCAAGTTCACATATGTAAAGTAACGTTGTTAATAACGTGTCTAAATAATTGGCAGATAACAACACCTGTTGCAATTTATGTTTCCCGAACAAATTTAAATACCCTATAAGCAGGTTCAAAGACGCCAGTTGCTCGTTCTCATCTAAAACAAGGTGATGAATTCATTAAATCGATGAGATGTTAATGATGATCGTGGTAGCGGTGATACTGGTGATAGCGAACTAACTCTACTTTCCTTGGTAAGTGTTTTTAAAAAAATCTAACACATTTGTTATGTAGCACACTACCTTATTACAAAAGTAAAGTTAGAAGACAGGATGGTTGAAATGGAAGAAGGTGTGTAGGAGTTTGTATAAGTATAAAGTTGTCGTGTTCTGCCAAAGGTTGAGGTTTCATCATCATAATAAGTGGCTCGACAATCCGTTGTGGATTTTGGCCTGCTCATAAAGAGGTCGCCAGTCATGGCGATTCCTGGCGACTTCCTTTCATCTTTTGACCCTTAGAATCTGTAGGTCTTCTTCCACATCATCAATCCATCTCCTTCGTGGTCGTATTCGGGTTTTGAAAATGTTAATCTCTTCGTGTATTCGTGATCTGAAATCCTAGCAATGTGTCCAGCTCATCTAAGTCTCTACACTTTAACGAATTTCACAATATCTGGATCGGTATATAACTGATATAGTTCTATCTTCGACGACATAGCCCATTTTCATTTACAGCCTCAAAAATCTTTCTTTTCAAAATTTTTTCTCTCAAAAATACCAAGAGGTCTTTCATCATTTTGAGCTAAGGTGCACGTTTGAGCCCCATATATCAAAACTGGTCCTATTATCATCATCATCATTGGCTCCACAACCCATGGTGGGTCTTGGCCTGCTCAAGGATAAGTCTCCATTCTCTCCTATTCTTCGCCTTGGCTTTCCAGTTTCGTACTCTTAACATTCTTAAGTCTTCCTCTACTTGATTCTTAAATCGTGCTCTGGGTCTGCCTCTCCTTCTCAATCCATCTATTCTTTGGTTATAAACATGTTTTGGCGACTCCATCTCATCCATTCTCATGTGATTTAACCACCACATCAGGTTTATTTTGATGAGCCTAATAATATCAGGTTTGTCATACAGGCGGTAAAGTTCGAAATTATAGCGTCTACGCCATAATCCGTCCTTCTAATCTATAATAGACTCTATTTGTCAGATATATCCCTCTGTTAATTTCTGGACTTACTGCATTATTCTGATTAATTTGTGAGCCTAGGCATATAAACTATCTTACTCCTTCGAAAGTATATGTTCCGATTGTTAGATCTTCAGGTTGTGCTGCTTGTATATAATTTGATACTTTCATATACTTCGTCTTATTAGTGTTAACCTCTAGTCCGATTCTCTTTATTGCTGCTTCAAGCGCCTTATATGATTCGATCACGTCCGCCTTTCTTCTTGCAATAATGTCGATGTCATCGGCGTACGCTAGTAATTGTAGGCTGCGATTAATAATAGTTCCGCTGGTTAATAATATTTTTTTTTCTACCAGTATACATATACAGTATGTCAGTTTTTTTGCCATGCTTTAAAAGTTCTGAAGGAATGTCATCTGCCCCAGGAGCTTTGTTTTCTTTAAATTTCTGTATAACTTGGATGACTTCTACCTCTGTTGGAATGTTATCTTTCTCTCTTTCATCGTCAATGTCCTCTAGTTGGATTTCTGATTCGTGGAGCCCTGTCTCACCTCTTATATTTAGCCTTTCCTCGAAGATTTCTACCCATCTTTCTAGTATATGGTCCTGATCACCAATGATCTCCCCTGTTCTATTTCTAACGATTGATAATCTAGGTTTGAATTCTTTCCTGTTCTGGTTAAACCTCTTATAGAACTTTCGCGTTTCTGCACGTGCCTTATAGTTCTCTAGTTCTTTTAGTTGACTCTCTACATGCTCTTTCTTCTTTTTTTTTTAAGTATTCGTTTTTCTTCTCGTCTCTGCTTCCTATACTCTTCCTCTGTTTGTCTTGTTCTTCGCCCTTGGAGTCTTCTATATGCCTGATTTTTTCTTTGCGTTGCTTGTGCGCATTCCTCATCGTACCAGTCTGAGCTTAGTTTTTTACGTTTTTGCTTTCTGATAACTTCAGTTGCCACTTCTTCCAATATGGCTCTACACTGCCTCCAATAGTTGTTAATATCTTCAACTATAACATCCGTGCAGCCTTCCAGCTTGTTTTTGAGACTTTCTTCGAATCTCTTAGCTATCTCAGGGTTCTTCAACGCTTCTACTTTAAACCTTTCCTCTTTAACTCCTTTTTCTTTCTTTGAATTGGAGATTCTAGCTCTTAGTTTAGCTTGTAGTAGGTAATGGTCCGAGTCTATGTTCGGCCCGAGTCTTGCACGAACGTCTATCACGTCGCTAAAGTGTCTTGCGTCAACCACAACATGGTCGATTTGGTTTATTGTATTCCCATCTGGACTTCTCCATGTTCCCTTATCTATATCTTTGTGCCTGAAGCATGTGGCAATCACCATGTTTATTGAGGAGGCTAAGTGTATTAGTCGAATTCCGTTGTTGTTTGATCCTATTAAGGTCTTGAATATATTGAGCTTTACTACATGTTTTATATTTTTATTTTTTCAATATTTCTGGAGATCGTGAACTGTTCTGTGAAATGTTTTTGCTATTGCTATGCGTTTTTTTATTTCGTCGCTTAGCGTGTTTACTAGCTATCCAAGATATTTTTTGATTTGCTCAAAGGTATGGTTGTTAATTTGAATTTTCTGTTGGATATTTCAGGGGTTTTTAGAAACCAACATATATTTGGTTTTTTCTCGTTTATAAGTCCTAATCCACTTGCCGCGTCCGCAAGCCTTGTAAAACGCTGCACCATGTCCCTCATACTTCTGCCCACTATAACTATATCGTCAGCGAATGCGAGAATTTGCGTCGATCTAATAAAAATAGTTCCATTCATTCTAATATTTAATTGCCTGGTTGCCTTTTCCAAGGCAATATTAAAGAGGAGACACGCCAGCGCGTCCCCTACCTTAGACCATTATTAATGTTTTCTCCTGTAATTCTAATGCATGAGCTTACAATTTGCATTGTTAGTTCTTCTTCTTCTTAACATGCCATACACCAAAGTGCGTAGGCGACTATCTCATTACTAGAATTCTGTTCTTGGCGGCGTGACACAGCTCACCTGTATTGTGTATTCCTGTCCATTCTTTAATATTCCTTAACCAGGACAATTGTTTGCGGCCGGCTCCTCTCCTACCTTCGATCTTCCCTTGTAGGATTAACTGTGGTATTTCATATTTTGCTCCTCTCAATATGTGCCCAAGGTAACCAATCTTGCGTTTTTTAATTAATTCAAAGAGTTCTCTTTCCACGCCGGCTCTATTAAGGACGTCATCGTTTCGAACTCTATCCACCCAAGGTATGCGCATCATTCTTCTCAATGACCACATTTCAAATGCTTCGAGTTTGTTGATAGATGTTTTTTTCAAAGTCCACGTTTCCATGCCATAAAGCAAGATGGACCATATGTAGCACTTGACCATTCTGTAGCGTATTTCGAAGTTTAGATGTTGATTACATAGGAGCGGTCTGAATTTCACAAAAGCTTGTCTTGCCATTTGTATTCGGGTTTTTATCTCGTGTTGTGGATCCGATTGGTCATTGATTGTGGTGCCAAGGTATTTAAAAGTAACAATAAAAGAATTTATTGTTAGTTGGGTCAACTTAACTAAGTTAGGTAGGATCCCAAAGTATATCATTGCATTATATAATGCAGTTCTTTTCACACTGTCATAGGCTGCTTTGAAGTCGACAAAGAGATGATGTGTATCTATGTTATATTCTAGTGACTTTTCTAGAATCTGCCTATGTGCTTGAATTTGATGTATACTTGACTTTCCAGCAGTAAATCCGCATTGACATTGACCAACAATATCCTTTGTAAAATGTTGTAAGTCTTTCAAAGGTTGATGATTACTCAGGCAAATTTATTTCCATACACTTCTTCTTTTGCGGAAAACGTTTACAGCTCCAATCTGGTCTATATCTTCGGTTGTTTGATTAATTCTTCGAAATATAATCCTGTTCAATTTCTAATTTTATGCAACCATGAGAGCTTTTTGTTGCCTATTCAACTTTTTCCATCTATTTAATCTTTTATGATTAACTGTGGAATATAGGAATTTAAATGACGCAATAGATATCCTAGGTAGAACGTCGTTCTTAAATTGATTGTGAAGATGGCTTCTGTGTCGCGGTTGAACTATAACAGGACCTCTTCGTTGGGCACTCTTGCGGTCTATGGCATTTTAAAAATACGGCGATATAACCACATCACAAAGGCTTTTAATATATTCAGATTTGTTGATTTTAAGGCCCAGGTTTCTACTCTGTACAGTAAGACTGGTCCAAGATTTATATCAAAATGTGGATTACAAAGAAACTCCTCAGTTTTATAAAGCTATTCCTGGCTTGGGCAACAGCCCTAGTATTTTTATAAGCCTTTGTTATTGACTATGGTTCTCTCAATTACCATTGTTTTAATTTTCTTTTCGTTTATACTCCTTTTTTGACTTCGATGGGTGGGACCTCGGAAATGTCAAATTTTTCATGACCCTGACACATAAAACCGGTGGAATGGGTTATAGTTTTAAGTGCCGCTGTGGATTGTGGTTTATTTGCATTAGCCTACGATTTAAGAAGAAAGGGTCTAACGGGATCAAATCACACAATATCGGTGGCCGTTTCACATCACCTGCATGTGAGATGATCATGCCCTCAAATCGCTGTTGAAGCTAATTCGGTACGAACTGTCATACACTTGCTTTAACATGACATGACCTTGTGTGATCCTTTTTCCCAGTTTGACAAGAAATTTGAGGTTAACTCGTCGTTCCTTTTGAACACACCGATTTCTTCGACAAGATTCTCATCGCAAGGAGTTGAATGGACGATTGTCATATCGAGAGTGGTAAAATATAGTACATCATTATTTATAGTTTCTCAATCATAATCTTTTCCATTAAATGCTTTGTTCATATCAATGGCGTGAAATCTTAGCAGCGATATTTTTCTTTAGCTCCGACTACCATTGTCTTTGATTATTACTTACAATAGTTCACATTCGGTTTTTTCTGTTCAG